CAGTTTATTTGGGTCCGATCCCTTGGCCAGCCGTGGCCTGTAGCAGCAGTGGCGGCTTCTTGGAGCCTCCGGCTGTGCAGAAAATGAAAGGGATGAGCTGGGTCGCAAGGGAGGGAGGGAGGGGGGGGGGGGGGGGGGGGGGGGGGGGGGGGGGGGGGGGAGAGAGAGAGAGAGAGAGAGAGAAGTCAGTTTTAAAATATCTGACTTGGCAAAATTACTATTTTGCCCATAAATGTATTTTGATCGTATCTCCCTCAATACAACTCGAATTTGGGCCCACTACGTGTGTACGAACTCGTTTCACCATGCTCTACGCAATGGTACTATTGAAATTCCCAAATTTCTTCCCGATCAAAAATCAAATTTTAAACAATATATAAATATTTCGGGGGTATTCTAGTCCTTTCCTTGAATAAAATGATAGTTAAAAATTTATTTAAGGATCGGGTTGTTACAAACTACCCCCTTATAAAAATTTCGTCTTCGAAATTTACATACCCGTCACTCGAAAAGGTGAGGGTACTAGGCCCGCATCTTCTACTCGAGTTCCCAGGTATGCTCCTCCATAATTACACTCACCAATCGCATCTCAATATCCTCGAAGCAAAAACCGACACTTCTACCAGTATTATGTCATAATAAGCCTTGCCAACATCATCCCCTACATGAATATCACCCAAAACACTTACTTAAATGTTGGGACTTTAGTACCTCTCCCGACTCTAATCCCTTGATCAATTTATGAGGAAACCAAATTTGGAACCTGTTGCATTTAGAAACAAAGGGGCCAAGCAACTAATCAGCATGAGGAAAATCTTAGATTATGCAATCAAAGTGTAATCTAATCTAGAAAGGGTTGGCTCATGCTGTGAACATCTACCTCATGCAATACTATAAATATCCTTTTGCTTCTAAATATTTCACATTGCTCAAAACTTTTGAATACCTTAGCATCAAGGTCTCTCTCTCTGGAGTCAAGAGAAGTCACAATCATGTTAACAGCCAAATCAAAAGCTTTGACTAAGCAAACAGAAAAAGAGAAATCTATCTCATCCTTTGATGGCTAATAAAATGCTTAATCTTTCACTGAAAGCTAAATGCTTCTATTTGTGATTTGCTTATCTTAATCACCTCAAACTACAAGTTACCTGCTCCAGGGGCCCACAATCAATGTGACCTTCTACTAGCTCAACCTGAACCACACACATTCACATCTGTTTATAAGCCAATCATACTTTTAGTCAAACATTGATTCCTTGAAAGAATTCAAATCAACTTTAATCTACCACCTAGGTGTACCCATTTTATTTCCACAATTCTTGATTTTCCAGTCAATTCCCTCGCATCACCATTGGTGACACGCCCTCGCACGTCTCGATGACACAAGGTCAACACGAGCCGCCTTTCTTGTAGGATTCAGAGAATCCGCATTCCTTGCTCCCACAATCCGGATATTCTTAAGACTCGTGGGGCAACTGTCAAACATGCTGACCTAACCTAAGGCAACCGATTTATTATGCAGGGGTACCTAGGTGGTTTTAAGAAAATATAATTTTCTTGAAAAAGATTAAAATTTATAATCTACCTCTTTATTGACCTGAAATCCTGCTGCCATCAATCGAACAAATTTCCTCAGTCCTCATTCTCAGCTTGGCAGCATATAATAAGATATTGAACTCGTGCA